TAAAGATGTACTGCCTCGGAAACCCAGTGGGGGTTGCTATGAGTCGGAATTGACTCGATGGCATTGAGTTTGGTGGGGTTTTTCTTTTTTGGTTTTATACTCAAGGTTATACTTTGGTTCTTGTAGACTTGTGTTAATTTTCTTCAGCTTCAAGTTGAACTTGGATATGAGCAATTAAGTGTTTCAGTGTCAATTCCTGGCCTTTTTTTGACTGGTGATATTGAACTTCTCCATTTTCTTTTTCCACAGATGTAGTCAAATTGGTTTCTGTGTATTCCACCTGGTGAGGTCCAGGTGTGTATGTAATTGCCATTTATGTAGTTGAAATGCCAGGATTTGCAGTGAGTGCATTGGTCTGACAAAATTCTGTCATGTCATCTCTCCAGTGTCATTTTTATCACCAAGGTGCTATCTTTCATCTACCGATCCTTTGTTCCTAACATTTATGTTCCAATCACTAGTAGTTATCAGTGCACCTTGACTGCATGTTTCATCAATTTCAGACTGCAGAAATTGGTCAAAATCTTGTTTCTTCATCTTTGGCATTAGTGGTTGGTGTTTAAATTTGAGTAATAATCTTACTAACTGGTGTTCCTTGTAGGCGTATGGATATTATCCTAGCACTGACAGCACTGCACTTCAGGATAGATCTTGAAATCTTTTTGATGATGAATGCGATGCCATTCCTCTTCAATTTGTTATTCCTGGTGTAGTAGACCATATAGTTGTCTGATTCGAAGCACCCAATACCAGTCCATTTCAGCTCACTAATGCCTAGGATATCGATCTCTATACATTCCGTTTTATACTTTGCACATTCCACATTCGGATTATCAGTGGATGTTTGCACATGTTTCTTTTCATTTTGAGGCATGCCACATCAGCAGAGGCCCTGAAAGCCCACTCACATGTCAGTTTGTTGTACTGTGGTGGCTTGCATGCTGTTGGGTTGCTGGGCGCTATGCTGCTGGTATCTAAGATACCAACAGGGTCATCCGTGGTGGGGAGGTTTAGTGGAGCTCCCAGACTAAGATAGACCAGGAAGAAGGACCTGGCAGTCCACTTCAGTGAGAACAGTTATGAAGGCATCGGAACTGAGAACTAGTTACTTTGTTGTCAGAGTGCTTGGCTGAATAACAGGATAAAATTCTTTCTGCCTTTGCAGATTACCTGTAATATAAATAATTGAATTCTGGTTTAATTTTTTTTCTTTTAAATAATAGAACTATTTCTTTCTCTTCTACTTTTGTGGACACTTTGTCTCGGTTGTCTGGAGATTTTTTTAGTTAATGCTTTTCCAACAATGGGAGTAAAAAAAGTTTTGAGTTGTACATTTCCAATTGCAACAAGGTGAAATCGAACAAGCTGTTGCTCTGCCTTCTGGTTGCAGGTCTCATACTGCTGTTAAAATAAAATCAGTATTAAGCCAATATTAAAACTTGATTGAAGTTTATTTAGTGTACAATTTGCATATTGTGACATTTTTGACCAGAGAATCAAAAATGTTCCAGAGAGGAAAAATCTTTTTTGTAGGCTTTTATACCCCAACTCACTGCTAGTAATTATACATTTCCCTGGAAACCAGGCTAGAATAGGATTTTCAGAATAACTGTAGACATGCAGGGTGTAGTATTTAATATTTCCTTGAACAATTTAGGCAATTACTGGTAGACTTTAAAATATAGCATCTAGTCTGATCTTTCGAATGGCTATTTTCCCATAACTACACGCTGATGATTGTTTGAGAGCACATGTCCGGGAGGACATTCTTTACTAATTAAACTGTTGTTTGATTTAAAGATGACTTTCAGGGACCAGTTTCAGTCTAAGGTTACAGTTTAGGGTTTAAAGATGACCCTCTGGCTTACGGTTTTAGGTACTCAGTGGCTTCAGAAAGTCTGAATACCATGAGAATTAAAAATTTTCGTTATATGGCAAACAAGTGTCCTTTTGTTCATGTGGTTAGTGCCAGGATTTTTGTTGGTGATTTTGCTGTTTAAAACAAGGCTTCGAACTGGTTTGAACTGGTTCACTCATGATGGATGATGCAAAATCTAGACAGGCTGAAATATACAAAATGTGGGTGCCTGGAGCAATAGCTAGAATGGAAAAATGATGGCTCAGAGCCCTGGAATGGGAGACTCAGAAGAGACATGGTGGGCCCTTTCAGAAGCCTGACGCAGGAGATTGGATTCCTGCTAGGACTGTGGGGTGCAGCACTCATCCTGAGTGGCCTGGTTCGCTACCATCTCTAAGCAGGGTACTGCTTTTTCCCACTGCCAGGCAAGAGATTGGTTGCTGCCCTTGTTTTCTGCGAGAGAGATTTAAGTTTCTGGGAAGGTATTGACCTGTAATTGTCCCTGTTCCAGTTGTCATTCCAGGCACCCACATGTTACAAATTCTGTCTATCCTGGTTTCAGTTTTTTGGCCATGAACTGGGAAGAACCAGTTTAAAGCCCTGGTTTAAAATGGCTCCAAAGTGTAGTGTTGAAGTGCTACCCAGTGCTCCTAAGCGCAAGAAGTTACTTCATGAGTTACAGTGCTGTTGCCTCTGAGTTCATTGCTGATCAATCAGCAGTACATACTAACTAAATAAACACACATGAAACAAAGCTACATAGTGATTAGTTGACTAAATGTGACCAGAGGAACCTAACTTTGTATTTCCCCCTGAGCATTGATTTAGTATTTAGTGTTCACAGCCACTTTATAAAAAATAACGACTGTAAATAATGAGAATTGACTGCACGTGAGTAAACAAGATGGGTGGGTGCCCCTCCCCTTTCTCAGGGTTTAAGCACCGTGAGGGCAGAGGGTTTTATTTTTGTTCATTGCTTTGTCGCCAGCTCTTTGAACAATGTCTGTCATACAATGGTGTTCAGAAGCTGTTACTGATGAGTAAATGGCGTCAGAATGTCTCGATTTCATAAATCAGGTTCATGGAAGGACTGCACTCAAGAGCTCTCACGCTGATACGGACCCCACCCACTTTCTTTTCAGTTGGTAATTTCTGAGTTAGTTGGGAACTCAGGAAGATGTTAGATTATATAAATTTAATTCTTTGGGTCTTGGTTTTCCTGTATCTTCCCAGTTGGACTAGCCATGAGGTGATAGCTTTCCTGAGCCCTCTGTGGCAACTTCGCGGAAGCTGCAAAGACTCTGTCACCTGTCCCGAGACGGGGTCTTACCTGTCGAGAGGGCTTGGTGGTGGCTCAGTAAAACCGTCGAAGGGCAGAAACGCAATATTTTCCACTAGTAGAGAGCAGTGGGGAACTGGACAGGCTGCAGCCTGTCAAAGGTGGAGAACCTGTGGGACCCGGAAGAACAAGGCAGCCCTGCTGATTCACTGTGTCATAAGGTACAGATGTGCTGTCTCTTTAACCTTAAAAATTAACAAAGTCAAGCAAAAGATGGTGATTTCTGTTTGACTTAAGGGCTAGTGCAAGGACCAGGCAAGGGCCCGAGACAACTTGAAGGCTTGATCGTTGTTATTTTGAAGTCCATGGTTATGGACATTTTTTAAAAAGTGAAATTTCTTCGTGGGCTGGGAGTAGACTGAATATCTGTAGTGAAAACCAGGGTAAGGAACCCTCTCCACACTGCATTCTGGACTAGAGAGCACTGAGTACCGCAGCCAGGCAGGAGAGAGAAGCACACTAGGGTAGGGTGATGGTGGCCAGAAAGTGTCCACGTGCCCGGCCGGGGCCCGCCTTCCCCAGCAGATGGTCAGGATACCACCTGCCAACGCTGAAATGAGAGGTAGACTGGGAAGATTGCTTTCATGCTCAACTTAGCTGAATAAGGAAGGCTGTGTCAGGCTTATTATTTCTTAATTATCTGTCATTTTTCTTTGTGGTCCCGTCCACAGATATTGCCAGTGAATTCAAAGACCAGTTACAGGTACTGATACCCTTTGTGTTAGATCCATCTAACTTAATGGAAAAGGAGATCAATGGCTCAAAAGTCACCTGTCGGGGACTACTGGAGTATTTTAAGGTAAATACAGGTTTTAATTTACAAAGGTTTCTTTTTTTTTTTTTTTTTAAATTATGATTTGGGTGCAAAGGTTTCATTTTTTGATTAAACTGAACTTGTTGTTGTTGTTATGTGCCATCGAGTCGGACCCGACTCATAGCGACCCCTCCTTGGGTTTCCGAGGCAGTATCACTACAGAAGTAGGATTGCCCAACCTTCCTTCCTAGGAGGGGCTGGTGGGTTTGAACCGCCAGCCTTCTGGTTAGCAGTCAAGTGCTTTAGCCAGTATGCTAAACTGAACTAGGATGTAAATTATTTTAAAGCTTAGGGGAGCCTTTGCTGGTGGAGATGGTGAGAAATTTCCAGAGAGCGCAGTGTCCTTGCAGGAGTGAGCCACTGGGTGGCGGTGTCTGTCTAAGAACCAAATGCATTCTCATAATTCCAGCGGTCCCAGGGTTGAGGCCAGCTTCCTCTCAATTGACACTTGCCCTTTAATGTTATGTAAACGTGCCTTCACTTTGAAACAGTGAACCAGTCCCTACTTGCAATAAATCCTTCATCACAATCACCTTCTGTTACTGCACGTGCAGCTTTTAAATCATTGAAAAGGCACGGAGCCTTTTCTTGTGCTAAGTAAGGCTAAATAAGAACTGAATGCACCTGTTCTGACTTACCGTCCATTCACTTAAAGACACACTTAGGATAAAGACACTTAGGAATTGAGCTCATAGGGAAGTCTCTATTTTAAAGCTTAGGGGCCTTTCCTGGGGGAGACAGTGAGGGGCATTTCCAGAGACCTCAGTGTCCCTCCAGGACTGAGCCACTGGGTGGCAGTATCTGTCTAAGAACCAAACGATGTTCTTTGCACTCTCTTGGAGGAGTCATTACTGTGGCTAAAGGAAGATGGCTCCTCAGGAAGATGATGTGGACAGGAGATGGTTAGGAAGTTGCTGTGAGTAGGAGGAGACGGCACCTAGATGTGACATGACTACCTCGAGGCAAATGGTCACTGCTCACAGGTAGCGGTGAGGCCAGGGTGCATGGGGAGTCGGATGGAAATCCTAGCCTTTGTAGGCTTGTGCTGCTTGAGAATATGTTTAGTTACTTTAGTTAACCAGAACTGCTAACATGCACTCAGGTGTGTTGTGTTTTGGCTAATTCCTGGTTGTTGATCTAGGTCTTTGGGAAAATGCACTTGTAATGGTCACTGTTTCTAAAAGTTAAGGTATGAATGGAATATGGCAGGATATTATTTCTAATCATTTTATGTTTGTGTTTTAAGGCATATATTAAAATTTACCAAGGAGAAGATCTGCCTCACCCCAAATCCATGCTTCAGGTAGGCAGTTCTTTGACATCCTGCGTCATATCGTAGTCTTTGGTTACTTGAGTTGACACACACACAGTAAGTAGAGCCCTGTGCTAGGAGAATACTACTGCTCTTCTTTCCTGTTACGTCAAAAGAAGTCCTTAGCACGGGTTGTTAGTCTTCCGCACACTTGGGGCAGCATGGCTGCTTGATTTTCTTGTCTGGGTTTCTGGTAGTACAGTCAAAACTGAGTGACTGCTGCTCGCTATGCCTGGTCTGCTCACCAGACACAGAGACACAGTGTGGAAAACACTATTTTATCATACCCAGGTAAAAATACCTAATAATGTTTCAAAAGTAATTTTCCTGTCATCTGTTGCCTCTTTTAGTAGTGTGTGTCCTGACATACGTTATTTACTCATCAGGTTTGGGTTTTTTGTTCTCAACTTGAAACTCATTTTGTTTTCACGTGCAAATTCTGACTTTCCTGTGCTGAACAACGTAAGGCCAGTTATTATCAAATGTTGATTTCTTTCGTAGCAAAAACATTTACACAAAGGGAGCCAGAACCTGGAACTAAGAGTGTAAAGATAAATTTTTCTTTTTTGGCTTTTCTATTTCTTTTTTTCTTTCTTTTACTTGAATGTGTAGAGAGGTTTTATTTATTTATTTTTAAACTTTTTGTTGTGATTTGGGTGAAAATTTACAGAGCAAATCGGTTTCCTCTGCAAGAACTCCCACCCATTTTGCTTTGTGTCGTTGATTGCAATTCCCTCAATGCAACATCATTCCTTCCACTTTGTTCCCCTTGTGTTGCCCGTTTCCATCCCTCCTCCTGTCCTAAAACCCTTCCCGCATTCTGAACTCCTCCCTGGGCAAGTGCTGCCTCTTTGACCTCAACTGGCTGATTGTTTTAAGGAGTGCACATCTCCCTAGTGTTGCACTGTTTTCCTTGTAGACCTGTCCGTTGTCTGGCTGAAAATGGAGCTACAGGAGTGAGCTCAAGTTTCAGGTACAAAGGGTGACCAAGGGCCAGAGATTGGAGGTTCCACAAGTCACTGTCTGACCAGAACACCTGGTCATTTTTACGGGCTTGTCTGTCTCTTGCATTTAATATTGAAGCAAAGGAAATGGTTTTCCTTTGGTTTTTGGAGGTTTAATTTACGCTAAAGATTCTTAGTACAAAATTAGATTTTTTGGCAGGAAAGATATCCTCTATTTCATAAAGTGGACGAGATGGAAAATTAAAAGATAACACGAAGATAGTAAGTAAAAAAGGAAGAATGGAAAAATAGGATGAGATAAAAGTTTCACTTGGTTGTTTGTGGGAGAATGTTAAACAACCGGATTTGTATTCACACTTTACTTTCTTTAAAAGGCCACTGCTGAAGCCAACAATTTAGCAGCTGCAGCCTCTGCCAAGGACATTTATTACAATCACATGGAAGAGGTAAGTGTGGCTTATGCCTTATTCTGAAACACCTGTAACCTGGGCATTGCTGTCGACTTCCAAAGGCCACACGCAGTCCTATCTGTAACCTGTCTCAAGGTGATGAGGCAACCAAGCTGTGCTCAGATCGCCCTGGTGATTGGGAGCTTCTGATAACTGCCATTTCTTGCCCGGTCTGTTCCGCAGTGTCGCTGCTCTCTGATCACTATCCCCCTGGTTATAGAAATGAGCTTTCAGCTGGTGGGAACCCAGACTTTACAGGTCTGGAGCATCATTTTAAAGTTAATCTCTGGTACCTTAAAATAACCTTTTTAGTGTCTTTTCACTTAATTTTGTTGGGCATTTGTTTTTTAAAGGATCGTAAACATCCTTGTATTTTAGGTTTGTGGGGGAGAGAAGCCTTACCTGTCTCCAGACCTTCTCGAGGAGAAGCATGGTGAATTCAGACAGCTTGCTCTGGACCATTTTAAGAAGACCAAGAAGATGGGTGGGAAGGACTTCAGCCTTCGTTACCAGGAGGAGCTGGAGGGGGAGATCAAAGAGCTCTATGAGAACTTCGTCAAGCACAATGACAGCAAGAACGTCTTCAGTACCTTCCGCACCCCTGCCGTGATCTTCACAGGCATCGTGGCTTTGTACATAGCCTCGGCCCTCGCTCACTTTGTGGGTCTCGAGGCTGTGGCCCAGCTGTTCAACTGTATGGTTGGACTGTTGCTGATAGCGCTCCTCACCTGGGGTTACATCAGGTACTCTGGTGAATATCGTGAGCTGGGTGGAGCTATCGATACTGGTGCATCGTATGTGTTAGAGCAGGTAAGTGTGCCGCTGAGGAGGTCGAAGGTTGGTAACGGACAGCTGTTTGTGCCTGTATTACGAAATATTTCCGTTCAGAAGAATTTCGTTGTGAAAGAAAGCATGGGAAACATCCCTGGCCATTTTTCCCCTGATGGACGTTGTTTTATTAGCCTCCTCTGGGGTATTAATATTTGTTCCTAATACTTTGCTTCCCTGCCTAAAATGCCCTCTCCTGCACAGAAATTCTGCTTTAGACATAACTCTGCTTCTCCCTGGAAGCTTCTGACGATGTGCTCTGCAGACACGTGGCCTGTGTGTTTTCTCCCTCAAGATCAACTTGCTTCACTGAGAATTAAGAGCTTTGAAAACTATGAACAAAGTTTTCTGTTTTGAGCCCTGCTAAGTTAGGTTAGAAATAGCTGCCATCTCCTGCATTTAAAATCTTAAAAAAAAAAAAAAAATGAATAAAAAACCCCTGATGGCTTTTTGACACTGACGTGGTCTCCTGTTTTAGGGATCTTTGAGACTGGTTTGTTTTCTGAGTAGCATGAACAGACCAGGTAGGCAAGAAGCTTGTGGTGAAGCCAGGGCCTCGCCTGCCCATCCCCATAAGGCAGATCAGGGGGAGGCCGCTGCTGCTGCAGACCCCCTCACACCTGCACTCTGTTCCTTGCTTCGGGCGTATACCACCCACGGAGGCAGAGCTTTGACAGAGAACTTACTCCTTGACGCTGTGCTGTATCTCACTGACGTGTGACTAACTGGACTTTTGCAGGCTACGTCGTATATGTGTAATTCCACTCAGGCGGCTTTGAGAGATGCTGTTGTCGGCAGACAAACAGTGGATAAAAAAGCTCAGTAACATCCAACAAGAACCGACCAGCCCCTGCTGATTTCTGGGTTTCTGCCACGGCCACAGGTCCACGTCCAGAGGAGACGGTAGACGTGAGGCCATCCAGGAAGAGCTGCAACGTGCACTGTAATAAACGAAGCAGACCCTCCCGTGGTTGCCAGTTCTTGAATGCACGTCCGTTTCTGCTGGAAGCACTGCTTTCCTTGCTGATGTAGACCCGAGCCTTTGTCTGTTTTCTTACGCCTTGCTGCTTTGTGCACTTTATGGGGAAAAAGTGAAAGAAGAAAATGTAACGCAGCTTTAAGTCCTACATGTGCCACTTCGTGCCTTTAAAATGGAGTTTGTGATTTTGTGGACATGATGGGGAGGGGATGGAGGATAACCTCAAGGAAGATGCCATTTTGGGGTGAAACTTCACTTCCTTTATACCTTACTATTTTGAGTAGGATTCCTTTTTTTAAACATTTACCAAACAGAAAAGCTTCAGAACTGAAGATGGGCTGAGAATAGCACCACTGTACTTTAGGAACCATAGCTGTATTGTTAGAGCATCTTGTTTGCCATGGAGGATGGGAAACCATATATTTAAATAGACCGTGCTCTGAGATGGCAGGTCTTAAAGGTGCCTGGCTGACCGTTATATTACATGCTCTAGTTTTTGCCTTCATTCTTGTAGCTTCTTTCTAGAAGAGAAGTCACACAAGGCCTGTAGAAGCCAGAGTGGTTTGTAGTAACAGGAATGACCTGGATGTTTTGAGACGAAAGCCTGAGTTTAAACGTGACCTCTGATAAGTCACTTCACCTTGTGCCTTGGTGAGATTCACTGTTTGTAGGTCTGTGTGTGTACATATTACATGTGACTTTGACACACAGTTGTCGTTGGCGAGTTGTTTTTTTTTCCTCTCTGAAAATTTTGCATAAGGACTTACCTAAGGTTTAGAGGAAAAACATGACCAAACATTACTGCTTTTAGCTGGTGTCCTGTTTCATGTGGCTTCATGGTAATTTAGGCCTTTGTCCAAAATGTTTATTTGCAGTCTCCTGTGCACTAATACATTTTTTAATAAGGAAGCTATAAATACCAATTGGTCAGCAAATTACCTTTATTTAACTTAATTTGATGCTAGTCTGGTAGCTTTACAATAGCTTTAGCTTAGTAAGGACCAAAGTTCTACCCAAATACAACATGTAGAAATAGCTAAGAATTCTTTTTTGTTTCCCTTGATTGTGTTAGAAAAATTTTTTATCCGATTGATTTCCTTTTATTTGTAATGGTGAATTGTTACCGATTTTAAAACTAGGCTGCAAGTATTTCTACAGACATTTAGGTGGGTGAGCCTTAATTTTTCAAGATAATTTTTGTGGGAGAGGCTGGCTTAGTCAAAAACTGAGTGTAAATTTTACTCACGTGAAGTATGAATGGAGGAAGGAAATGTGTCCTTAGCATGTAATCATTTTAGCTAAGAATTTCATTTGACCACTTTAACCTGTTACCTCTCAAGTGTTTTTATAAGTTCTGAATTAATTCTAAGCATTGTGTATTTTCCCCATATTTACATACCACCTTGCCTGAAGTTCGTGCTATTTTATTCACTTGCCATTAAGTTTTAGCAAAATTTCATATTGTTCTAAGTACTGTTGATTACTGATGATGCTAAGCTTTGACTATTAAAAGGAAACTTGGCTTGAGATTTTACACGTTTTCAGGTAGCCTCTCATCTTATTAATAGGTCTTACAGATGTTGAGGGACTTGGCTTTTTAAATGTATTTTATAAGCAGATTTATAGATTTCAGAATAATTAAGTCAAAAGTAGGCCTGCTTTTATGGTGAGAGAAAATGATATGGCCAAAACGCATTCTAATACTAAAGCGTTAAGTCTTTTTTTTTTCAATTTTAAGTGTGTGACGACGTCAGATTTGATTAAAGCTTAGGATCTAGTCACTGTTTCGGAGTAACCTTGGCTTCGTTGCCCTGAGGAAGCCTTATTTTTGTCTTTATGATTTCATTTTTTCTGCCTCTGGAAGCCACTTAGAAGGGTCCATACTAAGGGTTCTTTGGAGTGTTCTTTGGCCTTGCTGCTCTTTTAACAAGAAATTGATGATTTTATGTATCAATCTTTTTTTTTTTTTAATGGGAGATGACTTGTCATCATGGGGGGTATTTGTAGCCTGGTTAAGGGAGTGCCTCTTACTTCTTAACTTCCCAGCCTTTAACCTGTGGGGCAGGGACATTACTCAGGAGTGCAGATGTGTGTATTGGGTCAGTGTGTGACTCCACCGTTCCCAGCTGGCACATTCCTAGCAATATATGAGGCACGTTCTTAGTAAACATGGAAATGGAGGTTTCCAAAATTTTCTATTCAAATCATTCATTTCAGAGGTTAAATGTAGCTAAGTTGTTTTTTTTTTTTTTTGGCCCCCAGTTTGCTTCTTAGGATCACAGTGATGCTGAGAAGTCTTTCTGCCTTGGTCTGTAGATCACTCTGAGGACAGAACTCCTGGGTCTGTTTGTGAAACCGTCCTTGGAGTCCTGTTTAGTGCTGTAGTAAGAAATCTGCTCCATGGAGGTTTGTCGCCACCAGCCTGTGCATTGTCTGTCTGTCTGCCTGCGAATGTGTTAAGTGCTTACTTGTTCTCTCTCCTCTTCCGTGAAATAAATGCTGGGGGCAAACAAACGAACAGACTGCCTTGGACTGGTGTCTTTTCCTTCAGTAGATTGTGCCACACACTCCATGTGCTTACAGACGTGGTGCCGTGGCGGGGGTGAGTGGGAGTTACAGAGGAGTCGAGGAGCTTTATTCAGGGCGAGGCAAAAGTGATGAATAGTTTTATTTGTAAACAATGTCAGATTTACATGGGTGTTTTTGCAGAACTCTGATTAAAATGTAATTGGATGATTTGATGTTTCCTTCTAAGGCAGCCTGTGTGTGCTGCATCATCCTGGCTTCTGTTGGTCAAGGACGGAGGGCAGACAGACAGACTTCAGTTATGAAAGGAGAGATTTGTGTCTGTGTGGTTTTTTTTTTTTTTTTTTTTTCAGTAAAAGAATTTGCAGTTGAAAGCTTTTCCTTCTGTAATGATAAATCATATTGTAGGTGTGGGTTGGGTTCTCATCTACCTTGGTGGGCGTAAGCCTGAGAGGCTTGTTAAAAATCCAGATTCCTATCCTGATACCCAGGGATTGCCGCAGGGAGGCTGGGCTGCGGCTCTGGAGCCACCGTCTTTGTAAACAGTACGTTGTTTGAGAGAGACTGCTCCCTGGCATGGGAAGAACCCGTGAGAAGGTGCAGCAGGGCTCAGCGTTTACCCGAGGTTCAGAACGGGCGATCCGCTGCCGGATACAGTCCCCAGCAGGTGACTGTTGAGTCATAAGGATGCTTTATAATCCAGAGGTGTGCACGCTCCTAGGGCTGCTTTTCTAAACAAGATACAGTGCCTTCCCTGAACTCCGAATGTGTGAGTATCCTGTTCACAAACAGATGGAATTAGATGTTTTTTGAAGGTAGCTGTTTTTCCTTTCAAAAAACAAAATTCAGCACTGTTGACTTGAATCCCTAAATCTCTCAAACACACACATAAAACCCCCCAGCCACAAATAAAAAATAATGAATAAGAAAGAATGATAGAGTCATAACTTTGCAATTTTGAGACAGAAGTACCACACATCAGAACTTTCTAAAAGAGATCCAGAGGCAGAAAGGTTTGAAGATGTTTTTGTTCCTTGGGAAGGAATTTCCTGTGCCCAGAACGAAAATCCAATGTGATGTTTTCATGACCAGGAAGTCGTATGTGGTCCCCAGAGCTTTCTAATTTGGATGACTAAATGCTGCCATTGACGGGAGCCTTAAAGGAGGTTAATCTCGATCACATACAGAATTTCTTGTCACATCCCTTCTGTGTTTTTGTTTTAAAAAATAATTTGTGAAAAGTACTTTCTGCTACATGTTTACCTTTGAATGACTTTAAATTGTTTAAAAGTGCAAGGGGATGAGATTATGTTAAAAGCATGTTTCTGTTTCACTCTTAGTTGTAAGATCATTTAATGGAATAAAGATCACAACATGTTGCGTGCTTTTTCATTTCTCTGTAATATGGGCAGATCTGGGCAGTAAGTTGATGTGGACTTGGCAAGCTGAACAAGCAGTTCTCTTGGCCTCTAAGGGATGGTTAACTAGGTATCAGAGGCAGCCGTGGGAATGTGGTTTGAGTCGACTTTCTCTAACATTCTTAGTCTAGTGTCTGACTGAGAAGGCTCAGTGTGGCTTTGAAACCCACAAGTTTCATTTATAGTAACCTGGATCTTGTGAGGACCCTTGAATTCGTAGCACTTCCGTCTGGAGCAAGTGGTTCCTTTATATAGTGAGTGAGCAAAGCTCTGCTGGAAGCTTTCCCGTCCACTAGCAACCTCGGAGGCACGGGAGGCTGCATAGAACTGCTCAAATACTGCCTCGACACACACTGGCTTGAAAACTACACTTAGCCCCACAGTAAAATTACTTCTTCCCTCGTTTTGAAATGTAC